CTGGCACGTAAGCGCCCCTCACCCTGTGATTTGGCCCAACATGCTTTCCTAAGTTCGGATTGGACTAAAGCTAACATAATGATGTCCTCTGTGTCTGGAAAAGTTAGTCCTATTCTGATTTGTAGCTGCAGATTTTACCCCTGAAACCAACCAGGTCTTCGACTGGTTATTTCTGAGAATCATAGGCAACTAGGCAAGAGAAGGGAAATAAACTCGTTTGTTGTTATAACTGGAAAAACTGCCAATAGTATATTTTCTCCAGATAGTTTACAAGTAGCTTTTAATATAGTGGAGCACAACACATTGGAACAAAAACTACCCTGTCCCATATTTTTATCTATTATTAGTAGTAGTATTTGTATTATTTTCCTCAAACATCCTTGCAGAGCGATTCCTTACGAAATTTCTTTTAACCACCTTTCATTTTGACACTAAGCATCTTAACTGTGGCCTGCAAAAAAAAAAAAAATTCTACACATACAGCGATGTATATTCTACTCATGCCTCATCCTCTGATTGCTGAGTAAACACTCATAGTACCTCCACATGTGTTGCATTTCAGTAGTTTCAACATTTTTTTCTTTTCAATTTTTATTACTAATAAACATTTTAAAAAACCACTACCAAAGAAGTGGAACCTGTGCTTAAGGGAGTTCAGTGGAAATAAACAAACATTTTTTACTAAGTGTTTATTAGCTAACCATTTTCAATATTTGAAGGTCTGAATCAGACTTGGTGAACAGAGACACTCTGAGGCCCCAGGAGAAGTTTATCCTTTCGGATGCTAAGTGACCAGAAGTTGTTGAAACAAATACATGATCAGGGCGGGAGAAATGATGGGAGTTAGGAGCCACTGAAAGAGTCGTTTCAAGGTGAGACGGCAACTTGAGAATCAGCGGGAGGCCGGAGATGGGACTTACAGCTGAAGTAGGTAAGGATTAGGGAGGAAAACAGTTTCTTTCCCAGACGCTTCAGACAGATTGCAGGGAAGAACGATTGAGACCGGGGAGGAGAAAAAGGAGAAAATTGCAGTATAAATCAAAGATGAAAAGCTGTCAAAGTTAAGTGTGAGGGTTTCACCAATAGCAAGAAGGTGCTAGTTATTAAAATGTGCCACCCACGTCGGCTCCCCTCAGGGGAGCTAAGGTGCAAGGCTAATGTGCTGGTCACAGATGGTTTTCCGTTACCTTTCGATAAAGTGTGAAGTAGAGTTCCCTCATAGCAAGTCAACAAATACAAGGGCTTTGAAATTTATTTGTGTTTATTGGAATCAGCTCTATATGCTGTACCTTTGGTTATAATCAAAGGTTGTGTATAACTCTGTGGCCTGTACATTTTCTTTTGTACTTGTTAGAAAAAAGTTGCAAAGATGATAGTGAGAAGAAAGATCTTGTGGGGCTGGTATTTTCAGCTCTCCTTCTGCCTTCCAAGGAAACATGTTTAATAGCAGATACGGTCATAGGTCCAGCATGGCAGGGATAGGGCATGATAAGCTTTCCCTTAACCCGTAACTGCAAAGTGGTTTTATTCTCTCAGGTTTCAAGGATGAGAAAACTGGGATTCAAGGAAGCTCTGTGACTCGCCCTAAGGCCATGGCTAGTCGCACCAGACCATGATTGTGGCATTTCCCTCTTAGTCTTCTGTCATTTCCAAATACCCTGTGGTTTCGCTGAACAATCTTACCCTTAACATTTCCACCATTAACTTCTATCATCTTCCCTTGGTTCTTGTTACTTGAAGTTGTTGACAATGAAGATACTTTCCTCCTTTTTTTAATGACTATTTTAGCACCTTGCTAATACAGTTACAGTCTATTATCACTATTTTTTTTTAGCTTCAATGGTTGGACATTCACTTTGAGCCTTTTAACACTTTGGCCTTACACTTCCCTAACTTCTCACTTTTGGTAATTTGCTAAGCCCTGTTGAGTTTCTTTTTGAAAATAGACTTTATTTCTTAGAGCAGTTTTAGATTCACGTCAAAATTAAGCTGACGGTACAAGGATTTTCCATCTAGCCTTTGCCCCCACACATGCATGGCCCGCCCGCACGATCAATATCCTCTACCATAGAGATACCTTTGTTATGACTGGTGAACCTCCATTGACATACCACTATCACTCACAGGCCCTAGTTCACTTTTCATGGTATATGTTCTTTGCGTTTGGGCACATGTATAATGACACGTATCCCCCATTATAGTATCACACAGAATAGTTTCGCTGCCCTACAAATCCCCTGTGTTCTGCCTACTCACTTCTCCCCAACCCTTCCCCTGGCAACCACCAATCTTCTTACTCTCTCCATAGTTCTGCCTTGTTGAGAATGTCATATAGTTGGTATCGTACAATACGTAGGCTTTTCAGCTTGGCTCGTTTTACTTAGCAACAGGTATTAAAGTTTTCCGTATGTCTTCTCACAGCTTGGTAGTTCACTTCTTTTTAGCACTAGATAATAGTCTGTCGTCTTGATGTACCGCGGTTTATCCCTTCACCCACCGCAGGACAGCTTGGCTGCTTTCATGTTATGGCAGTTACAAATAAAGCTGCTGTAAACACCTGTGTGCAGGTTTTTGGGTGGACCTAAGTGTTTAACTCCTTTAGCTAAATACTAAGGGGTGTGAGTGCTGGGTCATGTGGTAAGAGGGGTTTTTTTGTTTGTTTGTTTTTGTTTTTCGTGAGAAACAGCCAAACTGTCTCCAGAGTGGCTCTACACCATTTTGTATTCCCACCAACAATGGTGCTGAGTCCTGGTTGCTTCACATCCTCGTCAGCATTTGGTGGGGTTTGTGTTCTGGATTTAGCCCTCTGGGTTTCACTTCTTTTCTCTGCACATGTAATTCATGAACCCTTCTCTTCATGGAAGGTGTCACCACTGTATTTCAGAATAAAACTTTCTTTCCTCAGGACCACTTCAGTGGTCTATTAACAATCTACCAGGCTTTAATAGGTCTCTCTCTCTAGTTCAACTTATAAAACGCTGTCAGATTCATTTGCTAAATATCAGCTCTGGTATTTATCTTTTCTATCCAGCAGCCAGCAGAGGATTCTGTCTAATAAATAAAAGTTCTTAGCTTGCCATTTACAGCCCTCCAAGATCTTACTTCAACCTACCACTCAAACATAATTTTCTTTTACTATTACCCTTCATGTGCCCTTCTTTCCAGGCAGGCTAAATTTTTATTCATTTTCTGTATCAGCCTTATGTTTTCTGGCACTTACCTCGCAGGATTTTTCCCTGGCCTTTCATCATCATTCATTGTTCTGACAACATGATGTATCTAGTCCATCTCCATACACTCTCTTCCTCTCATGCACCGCTTACATCTGCTGCTTCCTTTACACCTCTGCTGCCACTGACTTGGGGCCCAGAAACTCCCCAGTGTTTTACTGCAGGACCTTTTTTGGTCTCCTTCCCTACCTACAACTGTCATTAAGATTTTTCTCTTGTGGAAACCTTAAGCTACTACTTTCCTGTCTAGAACCTTTTTCTTGTTCTCCATTTGTGGAGGCAAATTTTTTTCAGCTTGGTGTCCAAGTCACATTATGGCTTTAAAAAAAAAAGAACTATAATTGACACATAATATTATATTAGTTTCAGGTGTACAACATGAAGATTTGATATTTGTATGCATTGCAGAATGATCACCACAATAAGTCTGAACAATCTTACCTTTAACATTTCCACCATTAACTTCTATCATCTTCCCTTGGCTCTTGTTACTTGAAGTTGTGGACAACTTGAAGTTGTTTAACAACTGTTATCATACCAGTTACAACATGTTAATGTCTGACCTCTTGTACCACTTTCTTTCATTATATACTTTTTGTTTTATCAGAACATGCTAAATTACTGTGCACCTCTCTTTGCTTTCCTGCTCTCTCTTGGAATCATCTTCCTGTTTTGTGCACCCGAGGAACTCCTAATTCACCCTGTAACCTGCTGTTTAGACAGGACCTATAGCTCTTTCCTGAGCACCCCAAATAGTTAATCTATTTTCAAAGTGTTACAGTGTTACTTCTGTGTATTTCTTTGGTTGTTCTTGTCATATTGTATTCCAATTGCTGTTTTACACGTCTGACTGTGCTCTCAGCTGTGTATACCAGTCTTACCATATTCATGTGGATTCGTATCTCCAGCATCTAACAGAATGGAGGTGCAATAAGTACTTGTATATTTATAATTTGGTTGAATTGAAATAAAGCTCAACATACTCAGGCCCAACAGCTGCTCCAAGTCTTCTCCCAGCAGAGTGTTCTTTCCCACAACAGTCTTCCCTGATTTCTTTCTTCACCTGTCACCCGGAACTAGAAATGATCCCAACTTCCTTTAGATTTTGGGAACACCTTGGCTGCACCAATGTTTTGATACATACAACTGGCATTTTGATGTGTGGGAGGAACTATTTTGTTTTTCTTTCCATCTGAACTGGAGGCTCTCTTGTGGGGAAATTTAGTTTCTCATCTTCTGTCCTAATACATAGTCTTTGCAAATACTAGAAATAAAATAAATATGGGTTAAATAAAGGGATTGTTGCATAAAATTTTAATGCTTATTGCATGGAAAAAATCAAAGAAATTTAGAACTTTAAGGACCTTTGAAATAATTTACTCTAAAATTTTCATTTTACCTATGAGGAACTCAAGTTCAAAGAATTTCTGCCATGGTATTGAAAATTTCAGCACTTAAGGGGAAAAATTAGGATAGGAACCACAGTTTTCTGATTTCCAAGCAATGCTTTTATGTATTTCCAATTATACTACTCTGCCTCTTTAACTGAATAAGATATCAATGAGTCTTTTTGATGCTTTACATGGTAATGTGTCCAATAATGACTTAATTTTTCAATGATAATTTTGAGGGTCGAACATTATATGTTGTAAAGATTAACAATGGGGACTAAATAAGAACATGTGATTGTTTTTACTCTAGCAAACGTTACTTTCTCAGAAAGCCTGGAGCATAGTTTCTAACTTTCTTTTAATATTTTCTATTTGAAAGGTAAATAAGATATGCGGCCATCCAATCAGAACACCCACTCAAAGCCCCCCTTGTTCTTTTGATGGAAGCAAAGAGAAGCTTGGAATGAAGATCTCCACAAGAAATGGCGAAGAGACACTTGCCAACAGAAGAAAGTAAGACATTTGTTTTACAACCAGAAAGAGAAGAGAAAGTAAGCCATTAATTTTACAACAGAATAGAATGCATTCAGTTAAGTAGAACAAAATAATCCTATTGGAGAAACAAAGGATAAACGTTAATTACCTTTAAAATTCACTGGTTCCTTCTTATTCCATTAATTAGGAGGATAGCACCAGCTTTAGAAGTCAATGAAACTTTCTGTGAAAGGGATATTTTCTTTTTTTAAAAAAAATTGAATCTTTATTGTATTTTTCCATTACCATTTAGTCCCCCTATACCCCTGCCCCCACAATCACCACACTGTTGTCCATGTCCATGGGCCCTTTTTCCTTTTTGCTCAACCCCCCCACCCCCTAACCGCTACCTGCCCCGCCTCAGCTGCCATCCTGCTCTCCATCTATGAGTCCGTGGCGGGCCCTGGGCACCTGTTAGACTGTTGCGCAGCAGATCTCTAGGGCCAATTCTTCCTTAAGTGAAACTTCATGCCCATTGATTAGTAACTCCCCATTTCTTCCTCCCTGTGGTCAACGATACTGTAATGTACACTAATACACGTATTAATAGGGTGTATCTCATTGTATGTGTTCCTGTCACAATAAAATAAGAAAACTAAAACATAGCTAGTGTGACTGAGGATTGAATTTTTAATGTTATTTAATGTTGGTCTAAATTCCATGTAGCTAGTGGCTACCATATAGGACAATGTAAGACCAAAAAGAGTATACACATGAATAATGTGACAGATGTTACTAGAGGTTAATACTCTGTTAAAATGAAAAAAGGAAAAAAATGATATCAAGAAGTCTTCATACTTTTTACCCAGAATGCTGAAAATGGCTGACGGTTGATTCAAAATAGCTCAGCACTGAGTGGCTTGCTTTCCTAACTCGCATTCCCACCACTGCGCCCATCATTATGGCACACGTTAAATCAAAGCCTCCGTTACTGTCCCTTCGCTTAATAATGGGCTGAAAAACTTAACACTGGAAGAAACTTTTCTTTTATTTATTTTTGTGTTCAGTTGACCAGTGTATGCCCTGGAAAATACCAGATATTCAGTACGCGTTGTGAATTGAACCGAAATGCATATAGTTGTATATTCAATTATTACTTCAAATAATTCTTTCTTATAATACCTTATTGGGAATTCAGTATTTTACACAGCTGTATTCTCTGTAACGAAAGATGTGTTTCTTTCCTTTTGGGACAGTGCCCCCAGTTGCCTCATTCTCCCCTCAGAGGGGCTATCCACACGGGACAAAGGTCTGGGCTCTAGCTGGCCATTTGCTATGACATAAAAGATTCAGCATTTGACATGCAAAGGAGCTGTTCCCTTTCTTTTTTTATAATTTCATCTTTACTGTATTTTTTTTTCATCACCATTTGTTCCCCTCTCCCCAGTCATAGTGACCAGCAGTCATTTCTTGTCTTTGAGAAATTAGAATGCTTTGGCTAGGGTGGCTTTTATAGTAAAATCCACCTAAGGATGATCTAAAGTTCTTAAAGGTCATGTTGGTTGCACCATCAGAATAAACCAATTATTGGAGAGCTTAAACAAAACCCAACACTTAACCTGATTTATTCACTAGCAAAACTAAGCCAGTGCCTGTGAAATGTTACAAATTGTCTCAGGAACAATGAGGGGCTCATATGAGTGGAAAGTTTTATAAGTATTCTGGCCTTTTAATAGACCACCTTGTCACCAATCTTGCAAACTCATTATTTCTATGTCCTTGACCAGCCGGTTACCATTAGCCATTGCCCACAAATCAGGATAGATCCATCACACAAAGGGATGCTACACAAAGTGAGTAACCAGAGATACTGTAAATGAGCCCACTTAAGCATTTCATTTTTGCAGATTTTTTCTTGCCACTCCTGAGTGGAGCTTAATTGCTGTGGTAGTATATTTTTTTGCTTGATGCCTAAAAATCATGCAGGCCTATTTATACACTAGACCTGAATTTTATTTATCCTTCATCATTTCATCATTCCCCAGGAGGTTATCAATTCCAATTGCAGCTGGAGGGGAAATGTAGAAGGGGTAGGTGCCGAGCAAGTCTGGGCTTCTTTCCATGCATCTTACTTGTGATTTTTCCACCCACTTAAGGCTGATTTCCAACAGGTCACTTCCACCTAATGATATACTGCTTCTGGACAAGGCTGATCTTGTAGGATGGCAGACCATTTAGCGCTGAGTTCATTATGGGCATCTCAGGTTGCAGAGTTTCTTGCTAGCCCCTGGTCAAGTGTGTAGTTTCCACCAGTGCCCAGTTGCAAACCGATCAACCAACCAACCAACCAACCAACCAACCAACCAACCAACCATTTTTAGCAAAAGGAGGAATGACTTTGCTCCAAAGCCCTGGATGTCTGCACTGTGAGTCTTCAAATGGGGCTTCCCCGTGTTTCTGTGTAGCATCCATGTTACTTCCAGCACCATTGAGTAGATGAGCTGGATCGTCGGGACTAAATGTCAGAGCAGCTCGAAAAACCAAACTACAGACACTTTCATACAAAAACTCTTTGGGGCTACTTCATAAATGGGTTAGATCAGCTCACCCAGTGCAAACTGCACTGTCTCTTCCTGAGTGGTAGGTCATCCTTTTTTTTTAATTCCTCACCTGAGTACATGCTTATTAATTTTAGAGAGAGGATTAGAAGAATGGAGGGAGAGAGAGAGGAAGAGAAACATCGATGTGAGAGAGAAACATCAATCAGTTGCCTCTTGTATGTGTCCCAACTGGGGACCAAACTTCTCACTCAGGCATGTGCTCTGACTGGGAATTGAACCCGTGACTTTTTGGTTTATGGGACGACTCTGCAACCAACTGAAACATACCAGCCAGGGCTGAGTGCTAGGTCATTTTAAGTGCAGAAATTTGCCTTTTACTTTAGAAGAATATCCCAATAAGATCCAGACTACTAGACATTTAGAAACCCTGCTGAATTGTCAAGCACTAGAAATATCAATATTTTTCCTCCCAGAGGCTTATCTTAGGAAAATTAACATTTCCTGAGTTAGTTTTTATTAATTAATATTATATCCATGGCAATTTTTCTTAGGTTTTCTTTATTTACTTTGAACAACTCCCATGAGAATACTTATAGCAGAAACTAATTTCTATAAATTTAAACCAATTTAAAACTTTTTAAAAACTATGAAACAAAAGAATTTAACAGTTTATATAGCTTAATATAATCACTCTATTAGATGAAAAAAAATTTGTAAATGGATCAGTGGAAAACCTCTGTAAATAAAGATAAGCACTATTCTATATTGGCTAAAATTTCAAGTGCATTTTTTTATTTTGTCTTTTATGTTAATCATCTTTATTATATTTAATAATAATACTCTTACTTTCTATAATTTTAACCTCTTTTTCTATCTCCTTCTTAAAAATATTATCATCATTATCTCCTATATTAGAGGAATGAAGTTGGAAAACCTAAATAAGCAGTCAATAATGTTTAAATTTTTATTTGATCACACTGGCCAACTAAAATGGACTATATGTCAATATACTTTCTTTTGTGATAAAAATCTAAAAGGCAATGTACCCACCATAGTATAATGTAACTGTTGTGACTAAGCTCACTTTCTTTTTTTTTAAATGTTTTTATTACATTGTTTTATTGTTGACACTATTACAAATGATCCCCATTTTACCGCCATTTTCCTCCCTCCACCACATAGTTGTCTGTATCTGTGGGCTTTACATATATGCATGTATATTCTTTGGCATTTTTACATAAGTCATAGTCTTTTCAAATTCTGTTGGCATAGTTTACTTTAGATTTAGTTTGTTTAGTGGTATATTTTATACAATTAAAAAAATTATGTTAGATTTATGGCACACCCTAATTTAAAAAATGTTTAAAGGTTTTGCAACAGAGTTACAGTTTATTTAACTTCCATAGCTTTTCATTTCTTAATTCAAATAATTGTCTCAAGGTTATATTAATGTAATCATGTTGACTTATAATTTGACAAGCTACTTTTTTCCTATATAGTATTTATTATGTGATTATTACAGTTTTTGTTTTTTAATTGGAATGTTTTAGTTTATGTTTTACAGTAACACATGGTATCTTAAAATAGTTGAGTCCACCATCTTCTTTTTCTTTGTTTCTCTTTATCCCATTTTAAAATTGTTTACCCTTTCTTACCTCATTTTTTTAGTTCAACTGATATTTATTATTCTTTTTATCTTCAGAACATTTTGAATTTGTGTTTACTATTTCTTAATAGTTATCATAGAGATCACAATGTGCATTTTAGTTTTACTATCTATTTTAAATTAAAACTTTTAACACATAAGAATCTTAAAACAGTTTCACTCCATTACTCTCTTTCTGTTTTTTGTCCTATTTTGTCAACAAATATCTTATGTCAACCAACATTTTAACAAACCTAAGACATTGTTATTGTTGTTTTCAAATATCCATATTTACCTATAATTTCTCACATATGTTATTCTTTCTGGTGCTCTTTGCTTATTTTCAGTTCCATGTGTACATCTTGAATCATTTTGTTTTAACTGTACTATAACATTCATTACTTATGACTAGTAATGAGTTCTCACAGCTTTTTTTCTATCCTAAACATATCTTCATTTTTTAAGACTATTTTAACTGGGTCTAGAATTCTAAGTTGTTGCCAGCCACTGCTTTTAAAAGTACGAATGTCACCCTGGCTGGTTGTGGCTCAATGGATTGAGCGCCGGCCTGCAAACCAAGGGGATCATCGGTTCAATTCCTAGCCAGGGCACGCGTCTGGTTTGCTGGCCAGATCCCCAGTAGGGGACGTTCAAGAGGCAACCACGCATTGATGTTCTTCTCCCTCTCTCCCTCTCTTCCCCTCTCTAAAAATAAACAAATAAAATCTTTTTTAAAAAACATATAAATGTCCAAGCCATCATTAAGTTCATGACAGGACACTCTGTAGGTAGTAGGGGAGGTTCAGTGGAAACATTTAACATGAAAGGCAACT